TTATTATATCTAATTTCTATATTTTCTGTATATAATTTCTATATTTATATTTAAAAGTTATTTAATAAGGAGATTAGTTACACTATAGTTTATTAGTTAACAGTTTTTATACTTAATAATATAGAATATAAAAGCAAAAGTTATTTATAACTGAAAAAAAAATATATATATATATATATAGGATAACTCGGAAAAAGTTTAAAGAAATTCTTAAATAATGAACGATAATGATAATAAAAAAGATTATAAATTTCGCGATTACAAAGGAAAAATTAGCAAAAGCCGGTAGACCCAGATGTAGCATTACGATGCTAATTTATTTAGCGAATGCGCAACTTGTCGGCTAGATACATGAATAATTCATTTAATTAATTATTCAGAATTAAAGAACCGGATTTCGCATCTTCATAGAGAAGAGAGCGACTGATCGAGGGACGAGGCGATTATCATAAATTGAACAAATGGAGGGCGTGTCCCCTTTAGGCTTCCAGTCGATTAACGAAATTCTATTTGACTGGGGAACATCTGCTCTTTCGATTTTCAGCTAATTTGCAGGGTAATTGGCTGTCCCACCTTTTCTAACTCCTTATAGTAGAACTGACTCGGCCTCTTTGAGTAGCAAATTCGATCCCCTCCTCCACCTTCGGCTCTTTGAGAATCTCCCTCCCTCCGGCTCTTCCGCAACTTCTATGTCATTATTTAGCGTCCTATCAATAAATTCGGGAATTATTTGGACTTCTTTATTTAAAATTTACAATCACAATATTAAAAAGTCAAACGAATCTTTAAAAAAACTTGAGTTAAAAAATTTTAGAGTCTGATTAAATTTTAAAAATATATAAATTTAGGCGCTAACTAACGAATGTTTTAAGAAGTTAGAATTATATTAGCTAATATCCTAATTAACAAAACGGAAATGCGTCGTTAAATATTTGTACTCCATAATTTTTGCAAAAGGTTGAAAACTATTGAAATGTTTAAACATTGGTTGCCGTTCGCTAGCTACATAACATTTGAAAAACGCTCTCCCATTGGTCTGTTTTAATAGCACGTGACGACGGGAGCTTTTTCGTTAAACTACAAGTTCGGCTAAGGAAGATGACCATTGGTTAAATGGGAAATGGAGTTACAAAATATTTGCAGGGAAGACGATATAAAGGAGTCAATAAATGGTTTGCATGAGATCAAGATGGCCACGGTAGCTGGTTGCAAATGAAAATGTTAAAAAAGTCACAATCCGTGCATAATAGCGCTTTTAGCGTGGTGACTCCCAGATACTCTTGGTGCGGTAAGATTTTTTTTTTCTTTTTTTAATTTTTGAAAACTTTCAACTTAAATGTGCGTTGATGCGTTAAGAATTCTTTTGGTCGCAGGAACTGCCGGGAGTCTTTTCTGTACTCCTATGTCATTCTTAACTTCGGAATCTCTCCAGACTAATTTTTGGTACTGCTGTGCAGCGGGACAAGCCATTTCCAGACCCATTATCCCCACTCCGAGTTCTGCGTTCTCCTATTATTATAGTTCCAGTATATATGGTAAGTAAGTATTAATTTATAAACAATTTTTTTCCTCTTCATATATTTTTCTTGTGTTTCTTAGAAAATGATGGAAACTCTCTCTTATCCGAAATAATTCCTGAAAATAATGAAAAAGATCGCCAGACATTTATTTATTCTTGCATGAAATGCGATAAGACATTCGGAACTCCACATGGTTTAGAGGTCCACACTCGACGCTCTCATTTAGGAAAAAGGCCGTTTTGTTGCGAAGTTTGCCATAAAAGCTTTGGTCATCCCTTGAGCCTAACACAGCATAGAACTTTGCATACTTCTACTAGAAATTTTCAATGTCATCAATGTGGAAAATGCTTTAAAAGATCTTCAACTCTTTCTACCCATCTGCTGATTCATTCCGATACTAGACCATATCCGTGTCAATATTGCGGCAAGAGATTTCATCAGAAATCTGATATGAAAAAGCATACTTATATTCATACAGGTGAGTTTATTAATATTGTGTTTACCTATATGTTCTATATTTATATTTGCATATTATACTGCTTTTCTATATATATTAGCTCTATATGTCTATGGTTAAAAATAATGTTTTATGCTAGCATAGTAAAAATAAATTTAAAAACCTTAAAATATCGTTTATAATCATAAATTTTAGGATTTATACGATAATAGAGCGAGACAACTGTGAAGATTTTGAGTTTAGGAATGTAAATTGCTTGTATTTTTGAGTAGGTCTAATTGTATATTTCAGCTTTGGCTTAATTTATAACATATTGATATAATTATTCAGTTGTTAGATAATAATTGTCATTTAAGATATTTGAAACGGATAATAATATACAAAAATTTATTTTCGCTGGTCAGATTATACATTAAAGATGATGTCGGATAGAGAGAATACAGATTTGATTTGAAAGGGAAACGACCAGGTGTTTGAATTGGCCCAACAGTTGTCTGACCTAAAGGACTCATACGTGTTTCTTTATCTGGGAAAGACGATTTTGTTGTATTCACCGAGCCCAGATTGATCCCATTGGCCATATCGGGCCACCGGTCGGAAATTTAATTTCTTTATCTCTACAAATTGCCGAGAAAATTGTATTAGAAGGCAATATTTTTCTCACCGGGAGTGTTGTGGACGTTAAATATCAATGTCGTCATCCGACCTGCCGGCTAACGACTGATCCCATCTGACGTGATCCTCATTCCAATCCTCACATTCTATTTTGATGGAAAAATACGCAACTGATCCATTAAAGAAAGTAATTATTGGCTTGCAGATCGATGTTGCTATCCTCGTGAGAATTATCAAACATTTTTTTGTTACAATTTAAAACGAAATTTTAATCTAAAAGAACCCGAAAAATGTAATAATATTTATACTGTATATTTGTTTCCATCCAGTCTGATCGAATTACGGAAATGATACCCATTCTTCTCATTTTATTTTATTTTATTTTATTTTATTTTATTTTTACTGTAAGATGCAAGTTTAATTTTAAAAAGTTGTTCAAGTCTTTTTCAGAATTAATTATGCCTGTCTATATTCAGGGCCGTCGAGTGCTTGTATGGGGCCCGGGAGTAGAGGTTCCTTTTGTCTTTTTTTTTCTTTTGTTATTGAACAAATGAAATACGAATAATAGTTTTTTTATTAATAAATGCACTCTTAAAGATTTTATTTTTTGTTAGTAAAAATAACTTTAATTTATAAGGTTAATAATTACTACTTGGCCCCAGTGGCGCGTTACAGTTTCATGGGTTCCTAGGCAAATTTGAATTAGGAGGCCCCATGTACTGTACAATGTTGACTTCAAACATTTTTCTTCGGAGGAATTTTTGGAGGAACCCCCCCGGCATCCTTGTTCGTTTTTTAACACGATCTCTAGCAGGTTAAGTTCTGCGCTGCGCCAGTGCACCCTGCACCAAACCGGCTATATAGGGCCCAACTTTAAATTTCGATATTACTACAGTAATAAGTTTATAAAAGATTGGTTTAGGCCCCTATTGATGGAGGTCCCAGGCAATTGCCTTTTTTCCCGTAAGATAACGGCATAGAATTTTGACTCGCCTCTAAATTTTCTCTGGGCCAGGGGAAAAATCCCTAGCTTCCTCTCTTGACGATTCTATTTGTATTCAATAGATAACTGTTATAAATAAGATAGGGAAACTTTTATATAACTTTCACAGCATTATAATTATTTTTTTATGAACCTACGGCATATATAGGACAACATACGGTAAATATTGAATAACAAGTTTTACGCAGATGTTAAAGCTGTTTTAAAACTTCTCTTATGATTCGAACATAATTAGAAACTTAATTTAATAATACAAATTGTAAATTCGTAATATAATATACCTTTTATTTAGCTTAGTAAGAATTCTTCGAAATATTCGTTTGAAATTATAGTATACATTAATTATTTCTTCACTTAATAGTTTTATACTTTATTTTTACTTTTTAATAGAGACGAATTTCTACAAAACAATGTTTATTTCCTGAAGCCTTTAATGAATAAAGAGTTTAAATTTTAGAATTTTTACCCTAACTTTGTAGAAAGCTTATTTATGTTTATTGTAAATTGAACAAATTTAAAATCTGAGAAATATCTCAAAGTTTGAAGGAACGTAATTTTTCTGTTCTACATTTTTAAAAAAAATTTGTCAGAAAATTTCTATCAATCGTTTGAAAATCATAATTATGTTAAATTTAATAAATTAATTTTTTTAATATAACCGAGAAGAATAATTCTCTTGTTTTTGCAGAATAGATTTGTGTTTTATTTTATAAAATTTTGTAATATTTTTTAATTGATATCTTTATTTTTGTCCAATCTTTTTTTCCAAAGGAATTAGTTATAATCACGAAAGTCGCGCATTAATGTGCAAAAATACGGTTTATATAATCAGGATAAAATTATTCAATTCTTACGTAAAATTCCGATAAAATATTTTAAATGTTAGTTATTATTATTATTTTTTAAATATTTCTATGAGATGATAATATGTCGAGCTCAGTAACATAACTAAGGGCTCATGGTCCCTTTACCTTTATAAAGGAAGGAAAAACTAAATAAGTGATAAATATATAAGTATAGGAAAAAGTGCATTTGTCATATTCAAATATATATACACTAAGTTCTCTTCATGCATGCATGTACAGCGGTGAATGTAAGTTTGCACGTTCTAATTCGGGCTTTCCTAATATCGCTCTAATTATGCTAGTGATTAAGAAGTTGATAAGCAAAAACTTTAATCTTTGGATAGCGTAGTATATTTTATATTATTTCATGATTTATAGTCTGTTGTATTCGCTTTCATATTCATTTTTTATAATCTAATTCTGATAAATTGTTTCACGAATATTTCCTTCATTAGTCTTGCTTTTCCTAAGAATATACGTAAGAGAATTTGCAGTTTCGAAATAATTTAACTTTGATTTACAAATTTATCAAAGTTAAATTCTCTTATCACGTAAACAAAACGTGTATGCCGCCATTTGTGATATATTTTTAAATATATTTATTTCTTATTACTTATATATATATATATATTACGGAGAACATATGAAGAATACAGAACTCTTTATCTTATTGGAATAAATAATCCTTAATGACAATTTTTGGCCTTTTATCAGGTCTGTCAGAATGTTGGTTTCAGGATCTAGCAAAATTTCAATCTCCTGGTACAAATTAATACAGTATTTTATTTTGCTATTAATAAAACATTTAGAACGGAAATTAGCGGAAGAAATTTCAATAACAAAAAATTTTATTCATAGAAAATAATTACGAAGCATTATTTGAAATTTTCTTTTTGTTTTTTTTTTACAAATGAAACGTCGTTTTAATTAGAAAATATTAATACTAATCTGAAATAAATTTTTATTCTAATTATTTTAAAATATTTCTCACTAATTAATACATTTCTGTGTCATACCGGGCTGAAATTTTTCATCAAAATGCTCTCAATTTTATACGGTCTTTCCCCTGTAAATCATACTTTTCCTGTTAACAATAGATTCGTGTTGGTCATCTATCCAACTCAGTTCAGGAAAAAATTTTTGAACTGAAATAACATGACTTTCGGTTTGAATTTATATAGTTATATAATCGAGTCCTCCTGCCTCTAAGCTTTCCATATATGGTCTGGACTTTCACCTATCTAACTCGAGATTAAGGAAGAACAGACAGACAGGCAGCAGACCCAGTGAAAATGTACAGGTGCACAATTTTTGAAAATTGCCGTCCAATAATATTTAATTGCTTTAAATAACAATAACAGATTAAACAATAACTTTAATATAAAAAATAGGGTTTTGATAAATAAAAATAACGCTAGTGTAATTTTTCGAAATTATAAATGACTGAAAATTCTTAATTTTATAAATTTAAGTTTGTTTACGCCATTTCTTCATTTAACAAAACTTCAAGTAATTTAAAATAATCTTCTGTTGAATGATTAACTCTTTAATATTAATTCATTAAACTCGGAAGGCGCGTGTGCTAAGCACGTGGAGCGATTTTTAATGGCTCTCAGCAAGTTCCGGGTCCATTGCGCAGAAAAATTGAATGATGAAAAATAACAGCGAATTATTATTAATGTATTATTTGACGGTTTAAAGCAGTGATTCCCAAACTTTTTCGAACCACCATCTCCTTGGTTCCATGAACTTATACCCAACGCTCTCTAACCTATTTGTGTCCTGATCGTACATCGCTTTGCACATCTGGAAACTATTAAACGCAATGTTTCTTATTACCAGTTTTAACAGAGAAAAAGGAAAGGTTGTCAGTGATCCAATTCTCGCCTATGGTCACCGTTAAGTCAGTACCCTGCCTCTATCACCCCCTTCCGCCCATTTGCTTCTCTTCGCTTCCCTAGATTTACTCACCGCCCACTGTAGGAACCACTGATTTAAAACATATTCTCATCTATTTTTATTATTTTTCTCGTGCATTTTCTACAATACTATTTCAAAAATTATCAATTATCGTGTTTAGATTCATTAGAAATCCGTTTAATACATCACCCTTAGATGAATCGTTGGGTGATTTCCAAAGATTCCCATAGATGGACTTTATAAGCTGAGCTTTATAAAATCCATTCACCAATCCATGCACTACTTGTGATTAAATGATGATAATGTATAATGATATTTCTTTCTTTGAAAATATACAGGCCTACTGTACCGCAGGAAAGTTTATCTGAATTACTAATAACATCAATGGGTTTAATCTTATAAATTATTAATTTATTTCTGTTGGTTTAAACATGTTTTATAAACGTTTAAGTTACGTTGGGTTATTCTATATCCAAATATAATACTTTTTCTTGAATCTTAGAAAATTAAACATCAAGTTTCTTTTTTGTAAATAAAACTGGCACTCCGAACCTGAAGCGTAATCAAGGAGGGACCCAAGTCCTTTACCTCTATATATAAATAAATTAATAAAAAATCAAATAAGTATAGGTAAAGGA